TCTGGTAGGTGCTGAGGTGCCTCTTTTGAGTCATAGGTTTGTTCCCTGACCTTCTGCCCTTGCTCTCTACCAAGGGGCTGAGAGGGAAGTGAAAAGAGAGAAGTGAAATCTCCACTCAAAAAAATGACATGGTACAATTTGACCCAGTTCATCTAAAGCTTCTTGACTTGTTTTTAATCTAACCCCTTGCTAGTAAGACGGTTCATTCTCCTAAACACTACTGTGATTTTAAAAAAAATCAAGCCAAGTAAACAGAAAACTTTGGTTTTAGATGACTAATTCTTTTTATTTAAAATTTTTTTCTTTTCTTTTACATACCAACCCGTTCCTCCTCCCTCCCCATCTCCTGCTCTCCACCCCTCCAGCCCCCCCACCTCCTATCCCCTCCCACCCCCATAACCCACCCCCACTCCCATCCCCTCCTCATAGAGGGTAAGGCTTCCCTTGGGTAGTCAACACAGGCTGGCATACCAAGTTGGGACCAGATGACTAATTCTTTGTCAAAGGTTAAGCAAAGAAGAATGATCATTTCAGGCTTGCCCTTGTGGGGCCAATGTCTCCTCCTCAGGCTTGTGAATTATAACTGCTTGGCTGGCATGGGGCTATGGCAAGGGGTCTTTTTAAAATCAATCAAACAGCTGGGCGTGGTGGTGGCGCATGCCTTTAATCCCAGCAGTAAGGCAGCAGAGGCAGGCAACTTCTTTTTTGTTCAGGGACACCCTTTTTTTTTTTTTTTTTTTTTTTTTTTTTGGTTTTTTCGAGACAGGGTTTCTCTGTGTAGCTTTGCGCCTCTCCTGGAACTCACTTGGTAGCCCAGGCTGGCCTCGAACTCACAGAGATCCACCTGGCTCTGCCTCCCAAGTGCTGGGATTAAAGGCGTGCGCCACCACCGCCCGGCGAGGACAGCCTTGTTTATAGATCGAGTTCCAGCACAGGAAGGCTATACAGAGCAACCCTGTTTAAAAAACCAAACCAACCAAAGAAACCAGTGCCAATGCCCTCTCTTTGGGTTATTTTTCTGGTGGGTCCTATAAGCATTCTCTGGAATGCTTAATGTTATTTCAGTGAAGTGGCTTCTCCATCAGGCAGCGTTCTTCTCAGCCCTGGGTTTGGGAAGGGGAATCACAAGAACTATTCCCTGTGTCTCTCAGAGAGTCACAATGGGGACACTGGACAGCTATCCACAGACATTACACTTGAGGGCAGTCCTAGAGGCCGGTTTAGCATTATGGAGTCACAGCAAGGCAGCCTTGCTGAAGGCGGGGTTTCAGTTTCCCGTTTAACCGTCAAGGAAAAGCTCAGTTCATCTTTAGTTCAAGGTCCTGTGAGAGGATCTTCAAAGAGAGATCCATCTGTAAAGCACAGAGCAGGAATGCTTGGAAGAGAGTCCAGATGGGAGATTTGGCTATTTCTGTGTGTTCTGCTCATGTTAGAACTAAACAGTGATGAATAACAAACATGAGTCATTTGTGATTACCAAGTATTGATCATATAGCTGCCATTCACAAATACAGACTTTCTGGGAAACACTGTTTAATGGATAATTAAACATTTCACCAAACAGGCAAGTGTATCCTGACTTCAGTTCTTATAAAGCTTAGTGTTTTGGGGTTCATTTTGTAAGCTCACACCTGCATAAACACATAGACTAGTTTAGAATGTTTTCCTTAAAAAACATTTTTTTTTTTTTTAGCAGTGTTATCATAGTTCTGTTTCAGTTCTACAGGACATACTAAAAAGTGTTCACTCTGGGGCTCATTCCTACAGTATCATCAGAACTTCTTTAACAGTCAAATGGGGATCATTCTATTGCCTGTTTCCTCTATTCTCCCTATACTGTTTGAAGAAGTGAGACTCATTGTCCTCTATTTACTCAGCATCAACATAAGCTCTCTTTATTTTCTCCTTCCACTAAAAGCTGCTTCAGAGATCAATCTGACGAATTAGGTATAAATGACTATTAAGGCTTAAAATATTACTGTTTCGAGATTACAGCTTTGCTCTAGAGAAATAAACCCTGAGGGGATAAATGCTACTGTCAGAATTTCAGGTGAGTTATAGCAACTGTTATTTGGAGTGGTAGTCAAAATGGTCCCCAGTAGTTTAAATTTAAAACAGGTTAGGCCCAGGGCAGGTGTTAGCCTACAGATGGGGTCTGGTGTTATTTAGGCTGCAAGTAAGTTTATTTCAATCCATTGTACTTACTATTCTCTCTTGGAATGGTGCTGGGGATCACCCCAGGGCCTGTGTATGCTAGTTGAATGTTCTGCTACTGAACTACATGCAGAACCATATTTAACAGGACCTTAAATCTACCCACAGGATGCAGAACTGGAATCCCAGGATTCAATCGAGTTCTCACTAGATGGAAGCTGCTCCATCCAGGATGCTTCAGGAGAGCAACCCTTTGATCAAACTGAGTTCTCAACTCCAAACATTTTTCCAAAGTGGAGTAACACAAAACTTTCTCATGTCAATTGAAATAGTCTGTACAAATACATTTAAAAAATATACAATGGTTAAGATTCATATTAGTGTAAAATAGATAGCCATGTTGAAATGACTAGATCTGCCATTCCCAGGGTTGCTAGTGAATGTTCTCATAGGCAGTATTGAAGTACAGGTACCGCGGTCCATCTTCAACTTCTGCTCTAGGCTAGGAAACTAACGCCCGTGTTAATTCTAGCAGTTTTGGGTGTAGTTAAAATGCTCCCACTTCGATTCAAAATGACTTGAATATCTTTGGAGTTATTCCCAATATTCGTCTCTGGTGTAGAACTCATTTTAGTAAATAATTCTTTGGTGGACTTTGTGAACTCTTTCCTTTGGATGCAAGCCAAAACTCATCTGTAAGGCATACAGCTTTTTATTCAAACTTGGTGATGAATAATTATCTCTGGGCTCCAGACGGAAGAACTGAACCAGTGGCTTTAGGGACCCAGAGGCTAATTACCATGCCTGTGCATTAGAGTTAATACAGCAGAGTGGGGGTGGACGATGGTTTGCCCAGAATCTATTCCATTCCCTCGGGTAAAACAAGGATGTCCTGTCTGCTAACATACTTAAAGCAGTAACTGTAAAAAACGGCAATGTTATGGTTGAAGCTTTCTAAGCCATATGTGTTGACAGAATGCTTAAGTCTCTCTCTCTCTCTCTGCAATAAACGCAAACCCTGCCAGGCTCAGAACTACCAGGGCCAGTGCGACTGAACGACTTGCAAGCCCGGAAAAAAAAGAAAGAAAGCGTAGAGGCTGGAAGGCTGCGCGGCGTGGGGAGTGCACCCAGTGTTTCCCCTAACAAAGGCACGGGCTCGAGGCGATTTCGCGGGGCCACGTTCACCAGCTTTTGTCTCCTCGGAGGGGCCCCCCAGCCGCGCCGCCGCACGCAGCAGCAAAAACCTCAGCCCGGCGTGGGAAGCGGCGGCGGCGGCGGCGGTGGTTCCCTGCCACCCGAGCGTGCCCATTAGAGGACGTCGGAGTGCGGCGGCTGGAAAGAGAGACAACTACCACCCGCTGCCCCGTCCATCGGGGCCGCGCTTGCCATCTCCGCCGAGCCATCGCGAGGCGTACAAAAGAGACTCGATCGGCCGCCGACGGCCCAGGCCTCCCTCGCGGGGTCGGGAGGCGTCGTCGGCGGACCGGGGCCTCGGGTGGTGGGGTTAA